TGGAGCGACGGAGTGTGCTGCTGGCTCAGACCACCGCCAGCGCCTCCACGACCACCACCGCCGCCGCCACCTCCTCGACCACCTCCTCCCCTGCCGCTGCCACGACCACCTCCGCCCCCGCTGCCGCCCCCGCCCCTGCCACCGCCCCCGCCGCTGCCGTCACCACCCCCACTGCCGCCACTAGCCTCTCCAGCCCCTCCTCCACTCCCACCGCCTCCACCCCCGCCTCCCCCGCCGCCACCTCCACCCTTGCCCCCTCTGTTCCTGCGGCGGCTGCTCGGAGCAGACGTCGTCCCGACCTTCTCAGCACCAAGGAGGTCGACAGCAGAAGCAGAGGCTACAGAGGGGAGAAGGGGGGAAGGGGAACACCCCTCAAAGAAAGGGGTGCGGGGGTCGCCACGAGAGGCACCTACAGCGACGATGCTCGCCTCAGCTGCAAGTAGTTCCTTCTCGAGGAGGGCAATGGTGAGCTCAGTGGGGCAGCGAGCTAGAAAGTGATCCCTGACTGCGCGCAGAGAGTCAGGGAGGCGGGTGACGATGTGGTAGAGAGTGAGCCAGAGCGGGGGGGGGGTTCGTAGCAAGGAACTCATCGGGCATAGCAGCACGGAAGCGGGCCTCACTAGTCTTGAGGTGGGTGATGAGATCAGCAACTGTGTGAAAGGAGGCCAGATCGGGGAACAGGTAGGGGAGTGAGAGGCGGCCTAGTGCGGCAGAAGCAGGTGAGGAGTAGCGAGCAACGACAGCAGTGTACAGTTCCTTAGCAGTCTTGTGCTGGCCAAAGTGCTCGCGCTCATCTAGCGGCAGGGAGTTGCGAATAGCAAAGCGAGCGTGGGCGTCACGAGTCTGCCACTGTGAGCGCTGAGTGCTGTCAGCAGTGGTAGGAGGGGCAGTAGCATGGCCTAGGGCGTGATCGTACAGTGAAATGTCCTCCTTGGCAGTGAGCTGTAGGAAGAGGTGCAGGTCATCTAGCCAGGTGTCGAACTTCACTGGGCGGCCCTCAGCATCGAAAGCGAGTACAGGAGGACTAGCCATAGTAGCAGCAGCAGTAGCAGTAGCAGCAGTAGCGGTAGCAGTAGTAGCAGTAGTAATAGCAGCCGTAGTGACGGGGCCGCTGGGAGGCTGTGCGCGGGGTCGACGGGGCCGGCGGGGCCTCTATGCGGAGCACGCACATGGTCGACGGGTCCGGCGAGGCGTCTAGGCGGGACGCGGGCGGGATCGACGGGCCGGCGGGGCCGCTAGGCGGGGCGCGGGCGGGGTCGACGGTCCGGCGGGGGCCTGCGCACGGGCGGCAGCGGCGCGTAGGTTGCGGTTGCGCGCGGGCGGCAGCTGCGCGGTGGCGGCCGGCGTGCGAGCAGCTGTGGCGCGCGGGCTGCAGTTGCGCGCGGGCGGCAGCTGCGTGGAGGCGGCCGGCGTGCGGGCAGCTGCGGCGCGCGGGCTGCGGCCTGCGTACGGGCGGCGGGTGCGCGGGGCTGCGGCCTGAGTGCGAGCGACGGCAGCGCGAGGCGGCGAGCAGCTCGCGGGCTGCGCGCGGGGCCGCACAAGGCCGCGGCAGGCCGCGCGTTAGCGGCGCTGGCTGCGCGGGGAACTGGCGGGCCGCGCGCGGGCGGCTAGCGGGTCGCGCGCACGGCAAGCGGGCCGCGCGCGGGTGGCTAGCGGGCTGCGCGTACGGAAAACGGGCCGCGCGCGGGTGGCTAGCGGGCTGCGCGCGCGCGGTAGTGAGAGGCGCACAAGGGCGCGAGGTCGCACGAGGGCGCAGGAGTAGAGAGAGGCGCACGAGGGCGCGAGTGAGACGAGACGCACGAGGGCGCTTCTAACGGAACGGTGGGCCCGTAGTAGTAGGCGGTCCTAGGTGCCTAACCTAGGCTCGTAATACCATGTTAGAATGAACAAGTGTTGTTGGACTAGAAAGGAATGAGAGTACAAATAGGAAACCCTAGAGTTGTGACCCCCCTATAGACTAACCCACTATAGCCTACACAAATATAACATATATCATGTTTGACACGGCTGACGCGTACGGCGACGCTGGTCAGCCGGGACCCACCCTGCAGAAGCGACAGAAGGCCGCGACCCCAGCAGAAGCCGCCCCAGTCAACCCCCTCGCGTCCCTCACTGCGCAGAAGATGCAGGCACTGCTGTCGATGTTACAGCAGCAGGCTCCGGTTACAATCGCAACTTCTTCCGACTATATTTCAGCACCTGCAAAAATCGAAAATCTGAAAGGTGTCACCGCTCCCCGCGCAAACAAGGCTGCTCGCGTTAACGAGACCACGGCTGCACCCCTCCCCGCTCCCGTACCGGCACCGATCGCCGCTCAAGACGACAGCGACGACTCAGAGAACGACGATGGTGAGGCCCCCAACAACATTACCCGTCGTCGTATTATTGCACCCGCACCTTCTCTTCCACCCCTCAACCCCACACCCGCACCCACCACCTTCATGCGCAAAGGCGTGCGCGATCAGGCGGAGGTTTTCTCTGCTATCCAGGCCCACCTGAAGCACGTCAATTTCAAGCTCCAGCATGGCGACATCGAAAGCGCCCTTGCCAACGTCGCGGAAATCGAAACGCTCATCAATAAGCGCTTCGAAGTCCTCTTGGTGGCGGACGAGGCGGGGTTCGAGGCTGCCGATCGCTTTCAGCTATACCAGTCCAAGAGCGTGCTAACCTCACGCTCCTACAAGCTCGCAATTTGCGGATGTGGCGGCTCTCAAGCGCGCGCGCGCCGGCTACACTCGTGGTAATCGCATGCCTACCCGAGACGGCGAGACGGAAGGCAAGGGGATGCCACCCGCAAGCTGCCACGAACCCCGCTTCAAGGGGGTGTGCTTCCGCTGCGGCCAGCCCGGCCATATGGCAAATGCTTGCCCTATGGGAGGGCGAGGCGCTCAAGGCCCCTCACCCGTCGTGTGAGGAGGCACACGGGGCGGCGCCCCTTGCCACTATGCCGGGGGGCGTAGGTGGGAGCACCGAGGGTGCGGGACTGCTAGTTAGCATGGGGTATGGGCTGGATGCCTTAGAAATCCCTAGCCATAAGGGCGTCTATGGGGGTAGTACATGCTGTGTACCCATGTGTGGAAATAAAGTTCTCTTGTTTTAACTTCAAAAAAAAAAAAAAAAGGGTGAGAGAAAAGGAAAATGGAACCAAGGCAGCCACTTGGCAGCCCGAGCAGCCCCTTGACTAAAAGGGAAGAGTAAGGAGGAGAGAGGAAGAAACTGAAAAAATAATAATGATGATAATAATAAATAAAGCGCGAGACTAAGTGGCAGAAAGTGAGAAGAAGAGCAAACGGGAGAAAGTGGAAGAGGAGAAAGAAAGAGAAAGAGAGGGGGAGAGAGAAAGAGAGTGTGTGTGTGTGTGTGTGTGTGTGTGTGTGTGAGAGAGAGAGAGAGAGAGAGAGAGAGAGAGAGAGAGAGAGAGAGAGAGAGAGAGAGAGAGAGAGAGAGAGAGAAAGAGAAAGAGGAATGAAGCACGCTGCCTTTGCAAGATGGACTAAGCAAGCTTTCACAATCCCTGTAATCATACCGTAATCTCCCGGATACAGTACCCCCCCGCGGAGAAGACCCCGGGTCCTCTTTCCGGACCAAGGGTCTTTTATTCCGACCTGTTCTCGTGAGGACCCCCCTTTTTTAAATATATATTTTAAGACCCCCCTCCTTCGTCAAATTTTCAAATTAATGTTATATTCTTAACGAATCTGGGGGGTTGGTGATGCTCGGCTGACTCGTCATCAGGCACAAAACGGTGACGCGAGACAGTTTCGCGTCGAATTCCAGTCAGGATTCGATTTTGCGTGGATTTTACTGTTGAGATTCGAATCCGCGTCAGGGGAAGAATTCAACACCCTCGGTAAAAGCTTGACTTTCCAGTGCTATGAGTGAATACATTGTGCTCTATGAATTCTTAATGTGTTCAGGGGTCTTAGTAAATATGCCCCTTGGTATTGTTCACCTAATCATTATTCACAACATTTCTGATAAGACCCCCGGGTCCTATATACGGGAGATTACGGTATAAAAGCATGTATCTCTATGTTTTAATCAACTTATCTCACATACCGTACCTGTGCAAGGTGGTTCAACCAGTCTCATTAAGACGCTTCTGCTACCGGTAATACATCATCACTCTAAGCCTTAGTCATTGAAAATATCGTAAGGGCTTTCTCAGCCCAACGGTGTCTACACTACACAAAATCTGTCAACATTATTCTACCGTAATAAATCATGCAACACACTAGACTAGATCATATTGACGGGGAAATCAACACCCCCAATTGCAGACATTTTGGATGTCTTGTGTGATGATGCTACGATGCTGAATGTGACATGCTACGATGGCACTTGCATGCTCCTATTGACACTGCCATACTGCGTTGCTGTCAATCCCACACAAACAATCCGACCAACAAAGGCCATGCCCCCGCTGCTGCTGCTGCGGCATCAAAGAAGCGGTTGCTCCTCAGCTGCCCTTTTCCCCCACTTCTAACCCTGCATAAACCACTGCTCCCAGTGACCCAGCCACCTCTCCCCTCCCCCAACGCCTTTTCTCTACATCTCCTTCCCCAGTCGCCCAACATGCAACCCCTTGCTTCCCCTCCCTTCCACTCCACCTTCAAACAGGCGACTCCCTCTCTTCACCCCCCTTCTCCCTGCACCCTGGCATCCTGGTGGCTCCAATCATCCCATCGACCCTTGCTCCTGTCTGCATCGCACCACACCACCTCTTCCCTGTTCTGTCAGCGTCCTGCAGACCAAGCACCCTCAAACCACATCACACGCTCCTCCACGCTTATTAGCATGCGCCTGCCATTCGCAATGATGCCTTTCTCGTTCACCCTCCGCTCTGCTCGCCCAGCGGCCCGCTCCACCTCGCCCCGCTCCACCTCGCCCCGCTCCACCTCGCCCCGCTCCACCTCGCCCCGCTCCACCTCGCCCCGCTCCACCTCGCCCCGCTCCACCTCGCCCCGCTCTGCTTGCAGCCGCGCGGCCTCGCAATGTCGTCAGTCTTTGAGCAGTTTCTTGATGGCCTTGCCCCACACGCGCATGGTCATCAGCGCCACCACGGACAGCACGCCCGCCACGCCCGCCACCACCATGTCCATGCGCGCGTCGCGCTCGCTCTCGAACCGCACGCGCAGCCGGATCACGGCGCACCCCTCCGCGCGCCCGATCAGGAAGATCCCGCCGCGGTCCAGCCACCCGCTGGGCGGCTTGAGCTCCGCGCGGTGGAACCCGCACACGTCCACGGACACGCGCGCCTCCACGCGCACCACTCCCACATCCGTGTCGCATCTCCCCACGTCGCGCCACGGCGAGTCCTCGAAATCCAAGACCTCTCGCACGACCCCCCCTCCTCCCGCCGCCGATCCGCCGAGCGGAACGCCTGTTGAGCCGCGCGCGCCGCCAGCGCCGCCAATACCGCCGCCGCCGGCACCGCTACTGCTGGCAACGAGGCGCGCCAGAACGGCGTCGCCACCTAGAGCGGCCGGACTCGACACTTTAATCTTCTTCTCTACAGCTATCGGAAGGGTCGTTTCAACTGTTTGCTCGGAGCGCGCTAGGGGTACGAGGTCCTCCAGCGCGATACGGCGCGTTCCGAGACCATACGGGAGATGAAACGACCCGTCGACCTCGTGGAAGTGATACGGCAGGCGCGCAGACAGTCCTGAGAGGTCGACGATGACGTCAGACGGATTGTCCTGAGACAAGCGCGCGTGCCAGCTAGTCACGTTACCCATGTCGTGCCTACGTGCCTACGTTCGTGAATACAATGTTACCGTTGACGAACGGTGGCGACGAGTAATGACGCCGGCAACACGCCGTTGGGACGGCGAGAAGAGGGTGATGACGAGTGCCGCTGTGATGGCGCGTTGGCGTGGTGGCGTGGAGTGGCGCGCGCGGAACTGGTGGGCTCAAATGTGCGGCGGGCAGAGGTGCCCCACAGTTGAAAGGGGGTGAGGGGATCTGATGTGGTTGAGGGACCAGTGGATAATGTGATACAAACGAAGATGAGTTTAGTTAACTTTCCCGAAGTTATCTTTGATGAGTGTACTTAATTTTCCCAAACTGAGCACTTGCACATCTCGTACACCTACAGAATAGGACCAACTGACTGTTCAGAACTGGAAACCTGGATGGACCGTAGGTTATGGATATTGACAACACTCTTAACTCGCTCTCAAGGGCCTTCTCAAGCAGCACAATTGAGTGATCTAAATCTCGTTAGATTGTTCGCGGGTTCGACCAAAAGCAAGGCATCGGCGAGATTTTTCACACTTGTGAGCAGGGCTTTTTTATCAGTGTAATTTACTCTGTTTCTCTGAAAATCAGAGTGGTTTTTTATAGGGCACTCTGTACCTGCTGGGTAATTTTTTGAGAGTTACTTTTTCTCTGATGTGTCAGAGTTTCGGCATAGGGGCACTCTGAAGGGTCAGGATAGCTTTCCGGGATACCGAGTTTACTCTGTACAGTGGTGTTAAGATAGGGACGTATGAGTTTAGGAGGGCCTAGGCTTAGGAGCCTAGGCCAAGGGGTGTCGAGGGAGTTGTGCCAAGAGAGTTACGAGAAAGAAGAAGGGGTTTCACTATAGCACACAAGGTACATATAGCAAAGCAACAAAGAAGGTGCACCACCAACTCTTAATAATAATAACTACAGTAACTACAGCACGCAGGGTATATATTGAACATATTGTTTGACACACCCCCTTAGCCTGCGTGCAGTAGAAACTGGTGCAGCCAGCACCCGCGGAACGAGCAAACCAAGCGCTGTGGAAGAAGGCAGAGAAGTGAGGAAGGTGAGAGGAGAGGAGAGAAGAGGAGAGGAGAGGAGAGGAGAGGAGAGGAGAGGAGAGGAGGTGGGGGGCCAGGACCGGCGGACCCGCTTACGAACCTCCTTTTACAAAGGGGAGGTGAGAGAGGGAAGGGAGAGGAGGTGGGCTAGGCGGGCTTGAGCGCGAAAGCTCATAGCGATCCCCCCCCGTTAAGAACCCCCAAGTCCCGATGAGGAGAGGAGGTGGGCTAGGCGGGCATGAGCGCGCACGCTCAATGCGATCCCCCCCCGTTAAGAACCCCTTAGTCCTCACCCCCCTCGTCACTCAACCCCGTCAACCTCACACCTTCCGCACCTGTCTTCTCCCGCCACCCCCTCACCCTTCTGCACTTCTCTCCCCCCCCCCCCCCCCTACAGCAACAGTTGCTGCAGGGAGAGAGGAAGAGGGAAGGGAGGGAGGAGTGGCAGGCTCCTCACACCCGCCCCCCCCCCACAACCCCTTCCCCCTCCCTCCCCCCTCCCCACGACGGAAGCCGCGAGAGGGAGGGCGGGGGGGGGGGGGGGGCGGCGGTAGCTGCTGCTGGCGCTGGCGGCTGGCCGCGGCGCTGGCCTCCGCGCTGGCGGATTGCGGGGTGACGGGGGCGACGAAACGGGGGCCGCGTGGCGACGAAATGGGGGCCGCGTGGCGACGAAACAGGGGGGCAGCGGGCGACGGGCAGGGCGTCCGCGGGGCAGCCGACGGGGCGTCCGCGAGGCAGCCGACGTGGCACGTTCGGGGGGACGGGCAGGGCGCGCGTGACGGGCGAACGGGGAGAAAAAATAGCGCATTTCGCGCTGTAGTACGGGCGGGCCCATGATTCTTAAAAAAAAAGAGAAGGTTCCGGGAAAGAACCAGCTCTGTACCATGTTAAGTTAGGGACGTATGAGTTTAGGAGGGCCTAGGCTTAGGAGCCTAGGCCAAGGGGTGTCGAGGGAGTTGTGCCAAGAGAGTTACGAGAAAGAAGAAGGGGTTTCACTATAGCACACAAGGTACATATAGCAAAGCAACAAAGAAGGTGCACCACCAACTCTTAATAATAATAACTACAGTAACTACAGCACGCAGGGTATATATTGAACATATTGTTTGACAAGTGGATACATGTACCCCCGAACCCAAACCCCCACATTCCCCCTTATCCCCATTTTACCGGTTTTTTGGCGGAGGCGCGTGGTGTATCCATCTCGTTTCACCCGTTTGTTGGCACCACCTTGGATTCTGATTGGCCGGAAAGGCATATGTGGGGCTTCGATTCCGTGCGCGGTGCGCACCTGTGCACCTGTTGCTCGGCTGGCAGATGGGGTCACCACCAAACCCCTCCCCCCCTTCCCATTACCGTATGTTTGTTTCCAGGTGCGGGTCCCGCACCTGTCTAGCCTGTGTGCATTGGGCTCCTCCAGCCACAGAGCCGCCTCCAGTAGCCTTATTTCGCCCTGGCGAAGGTGACGCTGCTGGTCCTGACGACAGGCCGTCTTGTAGCACCCGCCCTCTGTATTGGCTTCGGTTTCTGCGTGGTGTGCATCAGGCGCACGTTCATCCCCCTCTTGGCAAGACATGAGTACCAGTACGAAAACAATTATAGCAGTGTTTTTTAAACATCAGAGTATTTAAAAAAAATACACTGTGGTGCCAGGGTTTTATTTTTGAAGCCTTGTGTTACTCTGACCGATCAGAGAAATGTCAAACTTATGCTGCATATTGCCTAGGCTGTAGTGGGGTAGCCCATATGGGGTACAACCCAAATTAGGGTTTACTACTTGTACTCCTGCATGCTGCTAGTTCAACCATTCCTGCTGCTAGATTCTAACATGGTATCAGAGCGCTAAAGTCCGTAGGACCGTTTTTTTTTTCGGGCCCACCTACCGCTGCGGTTACCGCGCTACCCCACGTACCTGCCTGCCTTGCCTTGCCTTGTGACGTGCTGCACTACGTGCGCCGTCCAGCAGCCCTAGCGCTGCCTCCTACTGCCCTAGGCCAGCGCGCTGCCCCTAAAGGCCCGTAAGGCCCGCGCGCCGCCCCTACACGCCCTTCAGGCCCGCGAACAGCCCCTGCAGACCCGTTAGGACCCCTGGTGCCGAGCGCTGCCCGCGCCGAGCCGCGCGCAGCCCGCTGCTGCCGCGCGCTGCCCGCACCGAGCCCGCGCAGCCCGCGCCGAGCCGCGCGCGGCCTGCTATTGCCTCACGCGGCCCGCAGCAGCCCAGCGCGCTGTCAGCGCAGCCCGCGCCGAGCCGCGCGCGGCCCTCTGCCTCGGCCCCGACCTGCCGCTGATGCGGCCCCGCCCTGCAGCTGCCACGGCCCCGACCTGCCGCTGATGCGGCCCTGCCCTGCAGCTGCCACGGCCCCGACCTGCCGCTGACGCGGCCCCACCCTGCAACTGCCGCTGAAGCGGCCCCGCCCTGCAGCTGCTTCGGCCCTACTCTGCAGCCGGTGTTGCGGCCCCGACGTCGCCGCTGTCGTGCGCCTACTCGGCCGCCGCCCGTCGAGCGCCGGCCCTGCTCGCCCGGCGAGCGCCTGCTCTTCCAGCCTTTGGTGAGCGCCTGCCTGCCTGCCTGCCTGCCTACCTGTCTGCCTGCCTGCCTGCCTGTCTGCCTGCCGGCCTGCCTGCCTGTCGGCCTGCCTGCCTGCCTGCTTGCCTGCCTGCCTGCCGCGCCTGCCCTGCCCGCGCTACTGCTGCTGCTACTGCTACTGGCAGGTGGCCAGATGCAGCTCCAGCGACGTTCACGCGAGCCTCTCACGCCCCAGCAGCTTAGTGAGTGGTATACTAGCTGGGGTTGTCGCAGTAGCCGTCGTAGCTGTCGCCCTGGAGCTGGTCAGTTGGGAGCGTCTGGCAGTGGCCAGCTGCAGCTGCAGCGGCGTCCACGCGAGACACTTACGCTCCAGCAGCTCCATGAGTGGTACGCTCAGTGTAGCAGGTCTACGCGTACAGTTCGCTGCCCGTACGTCATTCGCACAGGTGATCGGACTGGTCAGCCTTGCGGGACGCTTGGTCACACACAGTCCCGCTGCTTTGCCCGTCTGAGCGACGCCTGGCGTACCGAGTTTGGCGACGAGGCTGAGCTACCCACCTGGGTGGAGCTGCTTGGCCAGAGGGTAGATATCTTTTCTCTTGACTATGATGCTATTCTCACTGCCATGTATGCATTGCCTACTAGTGCTGACCGTGCCTGTTACCTGTGCGTACCGCCTGACCCTGGTATAGAGCCTGCTGCTCTTGGTGCTGGTGAGGCTGCTGCTCTAGGTGCTAGTGCGTCCCCTGCTCTAGGTGCTGGTGAGGCTGCTGTTCAAGGTGCTGGTGAGTCTGCTCTCTCTGGTACTGCGCCTGCTGCGGTCTCGCACACCTTCACCCTTGACTCAGGAGCTTCCCGCTCCTTCTTTCGCGACTGCACCACACTCACGCCGCTTAGTCGGCCAGTTCCGGTCTCCCTGGCGGACCCCTCCGGAGGTCCAGTCCTTGCTCACTACTCCACGGTTCTACCGTGTCCGGCCGCCCCGTCTGGCTCGCTGTCAGGTCTTTACCTCCCCTCGTTCTCTACGAACTTGGTGAGTGGAGCTGACCTCCAGGATCGGGGGGTTCACCAGTTCACTCCTGCGAGTCAGCGAGTGACTCACTGTACGTGTGCTAGGACGGGCCGACACTTGGCCACGTTCACCCGTGCACCTGGCTCGAGTCTGTACACACTGACCACTGAGTCCTCTCAGGTAGCTGCGTCTGCGTCTACGTCTGGTCAGCTGGCGGCCCCCTGCGAGTGTCGCGCTTTGTCGCATGACACTCTCCTGTGGCACCACCGCCTTGGTCACCCCTCCCTGCCTCGCCTTCGTCGCATGCACTCTCGCTCCCTGGTCTCTGGTCTTCCCAGGTCTCTGCCTGCCCTCCCTCCCTCGCCTGCGCCGCCCTGCATTCCTTGTGTCGAGGGGCGGCAGCGCGCC